ATTTTAAGCTTATTTAAATCCTTTAAATCAATTAAATCTATTGCAATGAATTATAAAGAAGCTTATATAATGAAATTGGTGTTTAAGCTTCCATATTTTTAGAAAATAAAAATTTCTAAATTTGCAAAAATGAAATATTCCAATAATCCAATATTCAAATATATATTTATTGATAGTAATTTAAAATATTTCTATAAGAATATACCAAAGAATACATTCATAATTTTTATAAATACTTAATAATTATACTCAAATCATTCAAATATTTCTAAAATTAAATTACTATCATTAGAAAAGAAAAAAAAAGTGATAATAATAATAAAATAAAAATTTGGAAAATATATCAATGCATATCAGTTAGTTATCGGATTTTAAAGTTAGAAACAACAGTTATATTAGTATTAGTACTTTCATTACTACTACTACTACTACTACTACTACTACCACTACTACTACCACTACTATCATTACTACTACCACTACTACCTGTAACTACTTATTACTTACTAATAGTAAGTAAAAATAACAGTAACAATTACTACAATAGTAAAAGTTATTCATTGCTAAAACAATAAGATATCTTTTATTACAATAACAACAAAATAAATTATTACAATCTAATATGCTACAACAATAAGAAATATTACTGCTACAACAGCCTACCATTACAATTATTTTATTCCCATGAGTGTTTTCGAGATTTTCCAGTCAGGCAATATTTCGTGATGTTCAAAAATTGTGTCTCTTTTCCATCCTCCTCTTGCATTTCAGCTGACAGCAAAATTACTGCACGCCATATCATCATCATTTTGTCATACTACTCTTGCGCTTTTATATAGTTTTGATCATTTCTGTCATCTCAATAATATTTATTTATTAATCTATTTATTACATTTTGATTACCAATACTATATTTTAAATTTCGATTTTGATTTCAAATTATTTCAATTATTATATTATTTCAACAAAAAAAAAAAACAAATAACAACAACAGCAAAACATATATACAGTTTTTTTTTTTATTTTAATCAAAAAAATTTTCGAAATAATAATATTATCATTTATTGAATTATAATCATATTTCATGTTTCGTAATTAATTAATTAAGATGGTTATGTTATAAAATTATTTAAGTACTACAAATTTAAATATCATATTTTACTCATTGTATCTACTTTTTTATTAGTTCTATTTGTTTTATTGCTTTGTTTATTTGGAATTTATCATTCGTAATCATATCGTATCATTGAATTTTCTCAATCAGTTACAGTATTTATTATTATAGTTAGTATAAGCTTGCAGATTTTGTTGGTAGCATTCAAAGTGAATGCTTAGATAAGCGATAAAATACAAATACTCTTTGAATTTTATTAGTATTTGAAATTTTATTTCATACTTTTTCAATAGGTATTATGTCAAATTTTGCATACGATCATAAAGTAACCAAGTGTTTGGATACATTGAAATAATTGTCATCATTAATGTCATCACTGATATGGTGGCATTGAATGAATGGATGAAATAATGGGTGAAGTTTATCATTTCCTATTTAATGATAATTAAAAATCCAGAATAAAAGATAACAAACCGTTTAAAATTTCGTTGTCTCCGTTTATTGGCATACATATTTTCCGAGCATTGTACACAATTCAAAATCTGAAAATGCATTAAATTTTCATTTAAATTAATTTTAATAAAGACATATGATTTTTGAATTATTCTCGATGAATGTCAAAAAGCGATATGATAAATTTAAATCATTTCAAACATCCTCAATGATTGCTGTTATATTTCACAGTAGCAATTAAAGTTCGAATTTTTCTCAGAATAATTTAAAATTTAATTTAAAAATGTTATTACTTACGGTAGCGGATTAGCTTATCAATTTTCAATTCTGATGAAATTAGCACGACGTTTTCATTGTAATTATTTGAAAAAATTGATGATAATGAAATAATCAAATAAATATCATTTCCAATGATTTCAATGATCTAAAAATTAATTAATTGATTTGGAGCAATTTTCCTTTATAAAATGTTTGGATCATTTTAATAGTTAATTTAAAATTTCTTAATTATTAAAATAATTCCAATTTTTTATTTATGTTTTCTTTTCCTCTGTTTACTTTTTCTTTTATCTATCAACTTACTATTCATACTAGATTTAAATTCGAATTTTAATTCCATGATTTTAAATTGTATTACTCCTTGCAAATATTATTACTAAGCTAATAATAGCTTTAGAACTAATTTACAAACGATCATTCAATAATTATGATTAATTAAGAATTAAAATGAATTAATTAACATGTTGGGTAATTATTATGAAAAAAATTTTCATACATTTATTAATACAATATTATAACATTCGTTGTTAAGCATTATCACTATCAATAACATTATTATCATTATCACAATGACTATGAGACAATTACTTTTACCGATACAGCATAAACACGCAAATTGTTAGCATACTAAGAAAGAAGAAGAAAAAAAAAAGATCTATAGATAATGAATATATTATAGTATAATGTTCATTGCGTGTTACATGCAAATAAAAATATCGTTTTAACAAATAAAAGCTTTTCTGGAAAATGCCTTATAACATTTTGTTAGATAATTAATAGATACTTAATTACTCGAATAATAATAATTCAAAATAAAAGTAATGGAAAAAATGATTTGAAAAAAAAAATGATAGAGAAAATGATATATGATAAACTTACTTTAATAGGTGAAAAATTTCTCGAAATATATTTTAGAGGGAAATATTCTTGTTACTATTACACATACAATTTCTGTTAATGTTATTGTTTTTGGTGCTATCAATTTTTATGACAATGATATTCTAATTAATTAATTAACTGATTAGTACTACTATTATTTCTCTGTTTCTCATTACACTCTCTATCCTAATCTTTCCTTCTTTTCGTTTTTTTTTCTTTTTTTTTGGACAAAAAAAAAGTTTTGTATAAATTAAACGATTTTATTGATGTCACCGTGTCGTCGTTTTTAGGATGCTAAAAGGGAAATTTCAGAAAATTTCTTGCAGCACACTTTTGGATACGATTGATTCCCTTAAGTGGTTAATATTGCATTTTATCGGGCGTGGCTAAAGAAGATGATGAAAGAGGCGGAAAAGGAATATTGCGCCGATGATACTTACCATACATAGCAACGAAACGGGTGGTACCACAAACATTTCTCAAGGACATCATCATTATTCATCGTTTCTTAAATGTCACCAAGACGAAAAGGCGGAGAAATGATTACTTACCGTATTATTTTTCTTATTGAAGAAATGGATAAGCAAAATTGTGTCACATATTTGCTAACAGTTCATCGATCATATATGACTTATTTTGCTAAATCAATAATATTATTTTTAATTTTAATTTATTATTAATGCATTATTATTATTGCTTATAATAACAATTTATTAAAATAAACATCAAATATTTGTTTATTTTTTTTTCGAAATATTTTATAAAATTAAAGAAGAAACAATACAATATGGAAGAAGAAAAGAGGAAAAATTACGGTAATAAAATTTAAAAAAAAATAGTCCAAAAAAGTGTGTCAAAAATCTTTGCTAACAATGATAACAAACATTTAATGATAATTTAAACTTTTTTTAATTGTTTCTGTGGAATGTTGTAGCTTTTAATTATTGATATTCCGTGATATTCTAACACTGATGTCCCGTAATGTCCTATCATTGATGTCTCGTGATCATCCTATGACTGATATCCTGTAATGTCCCACTATTTAATAATCGTTGCATTTTTTTTTTAACCATCTAAATGGTTTTTTAGAATGTATAAATCTCGAATAAATCTTAAAAAATTTGCATATTTGATATTATAAAAATTAGAAAATATAAATAAAGGATCATTTTTAAGTTTAAGCTCTAATTTACAAAACCTTTCAAATAGCTATTAGCAGCTGTTTAGGTGTTGTTACAATATTTGATTGGAATTTTCGTTTTTTTTTTAAAAAAAAGTTCAAATATGAAAAATTTAAACAACTTGTTCAATACTAATAATATTTTGTTTGTAATGTCAATTTCATTGATAACATTCCATTTGTATTTGCTACTAATTGATAATATTTCACGTAGATTTAGTATGAAATGATAAAATGACACACAAATTTATCAATAATTAATGCTACTACTTCACCTATTTTATTTAGCTTTAAATTAATTTTATCAAAAAATCCAAGATATATTAGATTTTTTGATTACATATCAATGATTGATAATTGATTGATAAAAATCCAAAAAATTTAAGAGAGCCACAAATAAATTAACAAATACAAATTGATACTAAACTATCTCTTTTTTTTCTCTTCTTTTCAATTTCCGATTAGTCAATTAGTTTAATTATTAACAGTAATATAGCTCATATCAGTTAAATTTTACATTTTGGTTAAGCATTGATGATGCAAATTGATACTAAATATTAAGCTATCTCTTTTTGTTTCTCCTCTTTTCAATTTCCGATTAGTCAATTAGTTTAATTATTAACAGTAATATAGCTCATATCAGTTAAATTTTACATTTTGGTCAAGCATTGATGATGTAAAAAAGAATGGATAATATTCGTTATGTCATCTAAGCTTTCGCTTTTTTCTTTCATTTTTCGGAATTTTCATTTTATTTTATGCAAAAAATAAATTATAGAAATGTTTTATAAATTAAATTTTTTAGATATTTTTAAAATTCTCTTTGGTATATTTGTATAAATGTTTTGCAAATTAAATATGCTTCATTAAGTTATCATTTTAGAATAATCAAAATGAAGAAAATGAATGCATTACTAAGAGATATTGCTGATATCGTTGATAAGGTAACTAAAAATGTTTCATAAAATTTTGGAATTTTTTAAATCTTAAAAAAAATTTCCTGCCACTTTTTTTCTTTTAATAAATTAGATAATATTCTCAGGAGAGATAATTGTGGTTTATAAGTTTCGATGAAATTTTTAATTTTAATTATTTTTATCATTCGGTATAAAGGAGTTCATATTGGGTTAAGCAATAAAGCTTTTTTTTTTTTCAATGAAATTTCTGAAAATTCTAAAAAAAGATTTTATAAGGTTACTATAATATGTTAAGTAATTAAAATTTTTTGACAATTTAACTTAATGCTAATATAATTTTACTTATGGATTAAGCATAAATTAATTGTTAACTAAAATATCGATATTAGTCAGATAATGGGATTGTGATATCTTTTTGGAGTAATTAATACTTTTGAATTTTAATCAAATTTGTTTAATGATGAAATTATTTTCAATTTTTTTACACATTTATATTAAGGCACGTAAATCAGTGGAACGTCAAAATGAAGTAAATATAGCAATCGAAACTGGATTTGCCCGTTTCAATAATGAAGTCAATCAGAAATTAAATGAGGTTAGTTCAAAGTATAGGGGAAAAATCAATTTTTACTTTTGATTGGCTATTTTATAATATTTTATAACATTTGTAATGCTATTTATAATATTTTGTGATATATATTTTATAATATTTTACTATTTTATAATATTATACTATTTTATAATATTGGCTATTTTGTAATATTTTTTTTTTAATTTATCACATCTTTTGTAAAGATATTTGTTCATATTTTCAGTAATTAAATAATAATTATTCAATTTTAGTAAACATAATAAATTCAAAACAAAAAGTTTTCAATTTAAATAAATTATTTTTTGAATGATTTAATTGGTGCAAATAATTGCACGAAATAATAATTTATTCTTTGGATGGATTCAAAAAATTTTTTTAATATTTATACAATTTTAACGCTCTATTTAGAAGATATGTTTAAATCGAATAAGCAATCTTTGATTACAAATTAGTTCTTATATTTCGTGAAAAGTTTCATTGTTAATGGAATAATTGTAAATGTACTATGTGATCGGACAATCTTAATAATGCTGATAATGATAAGCACCAGAAAGAGATATACATGATAATAATTAAAATTTTTTAATTAATACCTGTTTTGAACTGTAATGGAATTATGTAAGTTTTGATAAATATATACCGAAAATGATTAAATTATATTTGTAAAAAGCATATTAAAATGAATGTTAAAATTTTATAATTAATATGCAACTTGAAATTAGATTTGTTTGAAGTTTCAATCATATTAAGGTTAACAAAAGTACAAATCTAAACTGATTAAATTGATAACAAACTTGCTTATATCAAATTAATAACTTTTTTCTTCTCATTAATTAATTAACCAATCAAAATTTCATTTTCCTCTTCAAATTCAGTTATACAATAGAATTTGCAAAATCAAGAAGGATTATGCACATCGAATTGAATTTTTGAAAAATATGTGCCAACATTACACTGATAACTTATCACATCGAATAAATACATTTGCATTTGATGAAATGGAAGTTCGACAAAAGTTGAACAAACTTGAATGGGACCTAATTTTTCTTCAAGTAATTATTTTTAAAATTTAAAAAAAATGGGTGCTTGTTTGCTTTTTTTTGAACATTTCAAATTTTTAATTTTTTTTTTAAATTTGAAAATGCTTTAAATATTAAAAAATTTCGAAATTTGAGAAAAGAAAAATGGGATAGCAATTTAATTTTTCTCATTCTAGTGGTAAATTTTAACTTTTTCTAAAAATTTTCAGGAAAAGATTTTGATATAAAGAAGAAAAAAGTTTTCCTTCTCCTTTTTTTTGTTTTTTAAATTTAAAAAATTTTCTTTTTCATACAGTGTGTTGGACGAACATTTATTGAAACAACAGCATCATATTTATCAGAAATTCATTTCGATAATATCGAACAAACGGTTAATTATGCCTAATTAAAATACTATAATTTGAAAATCGATAAGAGCTAATATGCATATATTAGGAGAAAATAAATTTGATGATGAAAATTTTCCAAAATCAAACTTTTCCTTCCTTTTTGTTGACAAAAAAAAAAATCCATAGCAACATTTCGAATTATATTTAACAGTTTTATATCACAGTGTCATTTCAAGTTAACTTTGACAATATTAAATTTTGCTATTATTTTAAGCTAAATTTAACACTTCAATTATGTCTATCCGATCTCCTGCAATTTAAAATATTTACAGCTTTATAAAACCAAAAAGCATCTTACTACAATCGATCATATCCTTGCTAATAGTCATAATCTTTCTATTGCACATGGTATAACTTTATCAACGGTAAAATTACCTTTACAAAATATAAAGTAATCTTATTCATTGGTTCCTTTTTATTCCAATCAGGAATGAAAAAGCTGTTGAAGATTGTATCATACATATTGTGATATGTATGATACAATCTTCAACAACTTTTTTTTTTCCATTCATTGTTTAATTGTTTTTTTTTAATAACATATTGATATACTAATTAATAAACTACAGGTACCACTATCTGTATCAAAAAAATCAGGTGATGAAAATAAGGTAAATGTTTTTTAATAGAAAAAATTTTTTCATTTAAATGAAAAACAATTGAAAAAAAAAAAAGGAAGAAAGCTCTCTATAAACTAATGGAAAATGCAATCAATTATGTAATCAGAAATGTTGGCATAACAAAAATATCAAAGAAAAAAAAACTTTAATTAATCCTTACATAATTGAATAATTTGGACATAAAATTCAACAAATTGTTAAATTAAAAAATGCATAAATATTTGAATTCTGTTTTAATAACAATTTATTGATAAAGAAAAAAATACAATAGTTCTATTACAATGTTACAGAACAGAAAAACTGTTGAAATAATTATTTATTACTACTAATTTTCAATGCTATTTATTATAAGTTAGAAACAGATGTATACTATTAATTTAAAATGTTAAGAATTATCTTTTTCTTCCTTTCGGAAAAAAAAATTCATTTTTAATTTTAGTTTACAGAAGTATTACGATTAGTTTCTAATTCAGTGGAAAATCTTCAACAATTACCGTGTACATTGGATGGTATGATTGATGGAGAATATGTAAATCATAATAATTTAGTGAATGAAGCAAAAAAATTGTTAACAATGTGTACTAATATTCAACAAAAAATTATGGTATATTTTTTTTGCTGAGAGAAATAAATTTGATTTCATTTGATTTAATCATATTTAAAAATTATTTCAGTTTTTCTTCTTAACTTGATAAGTTTTATACGTTTCCTTGTTCAATTTATTTGTTTGTTTGTTTTTTCTTTTTCGTTTTGAGAATGCTGAATCTATTAGTACAACAGAAAGCAACTATGCCAACAACGGTATTGAACCAATATTATCAACAGGTAATGTGTTATTTATGATAGATCAGTATGAAGTAAAATCAAACCTATTATCAACTTTGCGTTTCTTCTTTTTACAGATGACAGAATTATCAACACTTCGGACTTGAACAGCGAACAACAACAATAATTATGGAAATTATAGTTTACCAATAATGAATTTCGACGTAAAAATCTTACAAAACGATTCGATAATTTTCACGTTCTAAATTTGTTAAAAAAATCTGGAAAGAAAACTACTAATTATTTGGATTCTCCTATAGAGATTGCTGCTACTCTATCTTTGAAATTATAAATTTCCATGATATCAACGAGTAAATTTGGAGAACAAATGAATTAACAAGTATATCATGATATTATTAAAAGTCGTGGAAGTTGAGGAAAAAAAGTTGATCTCAAGAAAAAATTAAACATATTAATAAATTTCTATATTGCGCGATCATTTTAATTGGTAATAAAATCAGAATAGCCACATCTCTAACTTCAGTTAATCGCCTCTAATTCTCAGGTTTAACGCGCCTAGCATCAAATAAACAGTAAAACTAATATGCACCACCTTTTTAACGATCAAGGTTATCTCAGCTTTTCCTCGTAATGTCATACATGCTAATGAACAGTAGTGATCTCAGGTACCTAAAAACATAGGAAAATATTTCGTTTTCCTTTTTTACCAAACTCAGATTCAGATTTTTCTACATAGGAAATATTTTACTTAATTCAAAAAATTTTAAGTACAATCAAAATTAGCACGAAATTTACAACGATATAAATTACAGTTACACATTTCCAAAGCAATATCTGGAAGTAACGTGTCAGCGAAATGCTACCAAATTACTTCATTAATGGTCTCCTCGTCAGAGAAATAAAAGAGAAACATGTTCAAGATCAAACATGATGGAGGGAATGAACCCCCTTTAGCTATCTCGAAATTCAAAATTCATGACTTGGATTATAGCATATCCATCCGATATATCAACTGATCGCATTTGATATCTGTTACAGAAACTGCTTTGACAATTGACTTTGCATTTCTCCTATATCTGCAAGATTTTTGGACTAAAATATGTATCATTTTTGGAAGCGAGAAGGTAAAGTTATCTGGAATGGATTATTCATAAAATTGATTGGATTTTAAGTAAGAACGAGGTTAGACTTTATAAAACAATTCAACAAGCGTGAGAAGGTCCCATTAATAGAATCATACAATAGTACCGTATAAGTTCATGATTAATCATTGGAAGAGAAAATTCTTCACATCAGTTTTGTCTTAACGCTGCTAAACGTTGTGTTAGTTCATCATTTTCCGCTGCTGATGTTGAAACTTTGCCACCAATTGATGCTGTTGATGGCATTTCCATGTTCAATTCCAATCTGCAATTTCACGCTTTTAAATGAGATAAGTTTGAATATGCCATACAAAGTATTGCTCGTCTTTTTTTTTTTAAGTTGGTTCCCAAAGAGAATTAGAAATGTAAGTAAAATTACGCTGTTTCGTTTTTTCTTTGAATACTATTCTTAGAAACTTCCTACTTGCCAATAAAAAGACATCTTGTATTACCAAATGACAGTTGCAGGAAAACCGGAGGAAGAGAATGAGGAAAACATAGAAGAAAAAGAAGGTACCACAAAAAGTAATACTATACATAGTTGACGGAAGACGAACCAGAGTTAAAAATAAATGGTGTGAGGTAGGATGACCTAACATAACTGTGTTTGGTATATAACTGTAATTCAATAACATCAATAAAGTAATATCACGAATCTAAGTTATCCTAGAACAATCTCTGCCTGCTTATGTAAGATAAAAATAGAACCAGATCTAAAGGCCAGTGAAAAAGGAAAACATACCCAGCCTTATCTGCCGCTTCCTGGATTAAAGCATTAACTTGTGCTTGAGGTGCATTCAGAGTTGTCGTGGCTGTCATAGAACCTTCCATTGTGGCAGACTGTACATCCAGATTTTCAAAATCTTTCTCGAACCGATCCATCAAATTCTGCACTTTTTCCAAATTCATTGAGCGCAAGGCTGATTCCATCGCTTTCACAACACCAGACATACTTTGGGTTACACGTTTTTGTGTCGCGGCCGTCTGCAATAGTGAGCATTTTGCATCATGCTAAATAATCCTAAATCTCTTTTTCTTCTAAAGAAAAATGGAATGTATAAATAATCTTCACAATATTTCGTTTACTTCGAACATATTGAGAACTTATCCGAAGAATAGACTAGAGAAAAGCTACAACATCTTAAACCTTCCTGACATTAACGTGCTACTACATTTACAACATGTTACTGAATGACCGAATCTTTTTATGCCAAAAGCTAAGTACTGTATACATCAAATAAAACTAAAACGAACTTGCACACGCGCTGCCACTGCGTCAATTCGCGCCGACATCCTTAAATAATTTAATGCTTCATTCTTCTTACGTATTGCATTCTCAGCGTGTACCTGCGCTACTTCCATATTACCTTTCTGTAATGATGCACCAACAATTTATATGGAAAAACTTCTTGGAAGATAAAAACATCGAAAAAGTAAAATCAATGCGCAAGTAAAATCAAAAATCGAAAAAGTAAAGTCAATGCGTGCGTGTGACGTCAGCATTTGCTTTACTCATAACTTGAATAGAACACGTAAAAGAAATGCTATGGGGAAAAAGTTGTGAGAAAAAGAAACCTTTATTGCATTTGTCAATTTCGTCTTCTCTGCTTTCTCTTCTTTTTCGCATTTTTTCGAATTTCGTTGCAGCTCCTTTGAAGCAAACTTCAAATTGAAAAGATGGTCTAAAAGTTCTGTGCAAAAATTAGCAAAATTCAACAAAATATACATCAAAAGTATGTTGCAAGTAATCACTGGAAGAAGCCTACTGTCAAGATTTGAGTTAAAAAGATGAGCAGATTATTGTCGAAACCTATGAATGTGAACAAGTAAGAGAACGCACGTTATAAAAATGATATAAGATCTTTGTATTTCTCTTCTTTTTTCATTTCTTTTACTCTGAGGAAAAAAAAAGCGCGTAAGCATTACAAAACGACGTATGATGGAAATTTGTCAATTTATGAGTATTATACGAATAAACCTTACTATCTAATGACATCTATAGTTGTTGACAATATGAAATTGCTAAACCGTTACGTGCGAACCTGAAATTCACAAACGTAAACCTACAATTATCCATAATTTTCCCATGTAAATTTGAAAAATATAAATAAAAGCAAAAGAATAAACATTCAGTCTATTCCTGCGATTAGACCATCCATATTGCATACATATGCCTAACAAAATAATAAAACATATAACTGACCAAAACTACTACGTATATCCATCCATATCAAATTTATTGGCCCATGATTCATCATGCGGGAAGCTCTATGCAATTTCTCTTCTCAAGTTAATGTTTATTATCTGAAATATCTGCTAGCTTAATTTATCCTATCTTGCAGTTGAATAAATAAGTAAGCAGTGCTAAGGTATATATATGTATATTTGTTCATAAACATATATACATTTGATATCAATTTTTGACTTTATGAAAATAAATTTTATTTATCAAATTTTAAGTTAAATTTAGCAAACATTTTTAACGCAATTTTACCTTAAATGATAATTCTATTGTTGAATAACATTAATATTACTATACAGAAATAGATTCAATTTTAAAATTCTCTATCATTCCTCTTTCTCTTCTTTCTTTCCATCTTTTTACTTATCTTTTTCTTTTACATCATTCATTTTTGTCTTTCTTTTTTTTTAATGAACGAATATTTTATCATTTCCATAGCCGATTATTTCAACAATGACCATATTTTTTCTTTCCACTGATTGTATGAATACAATGATAGATAGCTTTGTTGTCACCAAAATTAAATTACGATGACAGCAAAGCTATATAATTTATTAAAATATTTATTCAATTCAACCAAAAATATTTCCATTTCTTTCAAATTTATAATAAAAAGGAATGTAAAGTATTTTTGAAACAAATAAAAAAGAACGAAAAAAGGCAACAACATTTGACAGCAATTATATCAATCAAAAGGGAATGAATTTAAAAGGAATGATTAATTGCCATTGCTGTTTCTTTTGATGAAATGATTGAAATTGAAAGAATACTTTTCCACATTTAATGAATAAATGTAATAACTAAGAATTGTTAACAATCAAACGAAACATTCATTTACATTTTCCCTTTATTTTACATATTATATTCATAGATATGTTTGACAATGTGACATCTTGTCAAAATCAATTCTCTTTTTGTATACTTTAGCTTTCCATATAAGCAATAATTATTAGCTTTTGTAATTATCAGAAAAAATATGATGATTTTTTATGTATTGTAATTCTATATTTAATTATGCTTATTATATTTTAATGGAATTGTCATGATCTTTTGGATATATTGTGTAGAAAGATCGCCATAACGATAATAACAATAAACAGCAGTAATTAATAATAATAATAATGATAATAATAATAATAATAATAATAATAATAATAATAATAATAATAATAATAATAA